CCCATCGCTCAACCGCTGCGCCACCGGGGAGGCCCAGTCATTATATTTTAGTAACAAAAGTCTTTTGTTGAACTTTAAGTTTGCTTTATTAAATATTTGGATATAAATTATGGTCATTCAATTTTATAATTTCATAATTTAAAAATCAATAACTACATAAGAATGGGTGCATTTTTATAAGACAGAATTATGTCTTTGGCAGAAGGCAGCATATCAATAAACATAATGTTAACTTGGAAGTCCTTTAGGAAAAAAATTTCCACTCAACCCATCCCCTAATTTGGGTTTCTCACACAGTTCTTTTACATGCTCTTAATTCATCCTCTTACTTCATCCTCAGTTCTGTTTGAGCTACAGGAAGTAAAAGTTTTCCTTTGTATTTTCTTTTAGCACCATCTTTGATAGTCTCTTTTTCCTTTCCCTCCCACTTCACTCTTTTTTTTTTTTAAGATTTATTTATTCATGCATACAAGAACTGGGGTACAGGCCAGAGGTGTGGGGGGTGAGAAGATTCACCAGAGACAGAGTGAGGAACAGAACAGGCACACTGCCTGAAACACACTGCTGAGGGGAGGAGCGGGAACGACCGGAGAGGTCTGCCACACCATGTGGGTATCTCCCTGCCTGGCCGGGATCAAACCCGCACTGCAGAGACTGCAGACAGCTTCACAGAGCTGCACTCTACCGCCTGCACCACCAGGGGAGGCCCCCTCCCACTTCACTCTTAACCTCACAGCCCTCATTGTATTTATTAATGTCTACAAGCTTTAGTAATGCATTAAATTACCTGCTATATCAATGCCAGTTTCTGTTCCTGAGGTTCTGAATTGCTTTAGTATACACGATGTACTTAAACATCCTCCCATTTACTGTAAATGGCTGAATCTCATCTTTCCTATGACTGAAGAGTATTCCATAGTGTGGATCTACCATATCTTTTTTTTTTTTTTAATAGAGGCATGTTTTATTTGTTTGTTTGTTTGTTTGTTTGTTTGTTTTTGTTTATACATGCACTGGGTACAGTCAGAAGCGCGGGAGGGTGAGAGAATTCACCAGAGCCAGAGCAGGGAGCAGAGCAGGCAGAAGGACCGAAGTACACTGCTGAGGAGAGGAGTTGGGCAGCAGGAGAGGTCTGCGCGCCATGTGGGACCCTCCTCCAGTGGCCGGGGAGCAGCTGGGGATCGAACCGGCGCCGCAGAGGCCGCGGGCAGCTTCGCAACCCGGAGCTCAACTGCTGCGCCACCGGGGAGACCCTACCATATCTTCTTGATCTGGTCATTTGTTAATTAACATTTAGGCTACTTCCATGTCCTAGTTATTATAAATCATGCTAATATGAACACAGTCAAACATAAAGTTTGTGTGTGTGTGTGTGTGTTTTTTTTTTGATGTTCTCATTCTTTAAAATGTTCAACTGGTTTTGCTGAGTCAGATGGTATTACAGTTTTTAATTTTTTTAGGTGAATTCATCTAGACTTCCATAATGGTTGTACCACTTTACAGTCCCACTACAGTGTAATAGTTTCTCTTTCTCCACATCCTCTCCAGAACTTGCTGTTTGAGGTCTTTTTAATATGTGTCATCCTAACTGTGTGAGATGGTCTCTCTTTGTGGTTTTAACCTTTATATTTCTTATTGGAGGCTATAATGTTAATTTTTTCATTTGACTCTTTCTTGATATTCTTTCGTTAAGTGTCTGTTCAGAGGAGATGCCTATTTATTAATTAGGCTGCTATTTTTGTTGTTAAATTGTGTGAGTTTTTTTGGGGGGCCCTCCCTGGTGGTGCAAGGGGTTAAGCATCAGCATTATAAAGCAATCTGCAGCTACTGCATCAGGAGTTTGATCACTCCCCCTTACTCCCCCCCAGACAGGGAGCAACCCACATGGCGCAGCTAACCTCTCCTATCTTGCCTGCTGCTACTCCCCTCAGCAGTGTATTTCAGCCATTCTGTCTATTCTGTTACCCAGTCTGTCTCTAGTGAATCCTCTCCCCCCAACACCTCTGGCTTGTACCACACTTCTTGTATGCATAAATAAATAAATTTTAAAAAATAGATGGTTTTCCTTTAAATAGCGAAAGCTTGGACTTTGCTTTGAAATCAAGTCCCTCTGCAACTTTTTGCTGGTGAATTCAGGCCATATTTATTTAAGATGATTATTGAGACATATGTGTTCATAACCATTTCTTTAATTTTAGTTTTCCTTGACTTTTTATTCAGTAAGATTTCCATTTTATCTTTTGTTCAGGTTTCATTTCTATTATCTTATATATTACTTCTATGACTTTTCTTGAAGGTTCTCCTAAGGTTAGTATATGACGGGCTGTTTGTGTAAGTCTTTGGACCGTTTGGTCTGAGACACATATAATTGACCACATTATTACTCATCTCCTCCTCCATGTTATATGGTTTATGCATTTGATACCTCTATATTTATTGTTCTGTTTCTTCATAATAACCCCTTTAGACTTCTTTCATGTGCTGCTCTGTATTGATAAATTCTTTCAGTTTGTGCTGTTTAGTGAAACTCCTTACTCCATCTGTCTTGATTGTTAATCTTGCTGGTGTAAAGGAGTCTAGGTTGGAATTCTTTTCTTTAACAACATTAAGAATCTCTTGTTAATCCTCTTGTGCTGGTGATATTTGTATTGCAAACTGCTGAGAGTCTGATTCGTGTTTCCATTAAGTTTCTCATTTTTCTGTTGATGATTTTAGTATCCTGTCCTCTTTGGCATTCAACAGTCTTACTACAATATGCCTTAGTGTCTGCATCTCTAGTATTATTTTGTTTGGGCTCTTTGGCCTCCTCCTTGGTCACAATATCTGGCTTGTGTCTTCAGTTGAGATGTTTCTTAGCAATTATTCTTTTAAATAAGTGTTCCATGTCTTTGTCTTTCTCTTCTCCATTTGGCACCCCAAAAATATAGATATACTTTCTCTTTTAGTTGCTTAACAGGGTTCTCACACTATTTTCATTTTTAATTTTTCTTTATGTTGTTTAATTGTGTGTTTTCTGATATTGTGTTTTCAAGGTCATTAATTCTCTCAAATACTTACATGTGTGCTGATGAGGCACTCAGTTTTGTTGTTTCATTCAATTATAGTATTTCTTAGCTCTGCTACTTCTAATTGCAACAGTCTTTTTTCTCAGTCTACTTTTCTCCTGTTTTATAGCCTCCAATTTTATTTAAAAAATATTCTAAGTATTAAGTGTTATAGCAGTTATAACTTGAACACCTCTTTAGTCATGACCTGCTTTTCAGCTGGTTTGAGACTTCTGTCAGTGTTTTTTTTTTTTTTTTTTGGTATCTTCATTTTTATATTCAGTGGGTTGTAATAGGGATAGACTTTCTGACTGGTGTTTTTCTCTTCTCTCTGCCAAACTGTTCATCCTAGTGTGTCCTGTGATTGTCCATTTTTTACTTCAGGGGAGTTTTGCTTTTCTCTGCTGCAATCTAGTTGTGAGTACAGGGGGCAGTCAAACATAGTGTCTTCATACCACTGCCATTTCGTTGACTCCTCCTTTATCGCTTCTCTGGAGTTTACCTCTTAAAACTGCCTCTAGGAAAGTAACTTTATAAATATGTAAGATTTGTTTCTATAAACTTAACTGTATTATTTTTCTAAATTAGATGACACAAATTTGATTTGTCATGTGGGCTGTGTCAATGAATGACTTTTTTAGTATTTTAATTCTCTAAAACCTAGTGCCAACCTTAGAGGGAAGAAATTTCTTATAAAATAGAATATTCAAAGACTAGTAGCATTGACTTCACTTTCCCCTATGTCAAGACATTGCTGGGGTTGAGTAGCAGCTACCTACTTGGTGAGGGTATGTGCTTTCCAGTTTATTAATATTCCCATCAGACTTATTAATTTACATTACTCCTTAGACTCTGTAGACATTTTGGTTACAGCCACTAAAAATGGAAATGAATGAGATAACTCCCATTCCCCCTCTCAAATGACTTATCTATGAGGGGATTACATTTAAAAATGATAATTCATATCTCAGAAAAAATAAAAACACTGTGCTCTGTAAAGGTACAAAGTTTTTATTTTTTGACAAAATTCATGTATTCATTGTGCCAATGTAATGATTAAAGAAATAAAGTGTGATAAAAGCACAACAAAAAAGGCAACCTATTCTGAGTGGGGTGGAAAATTATGTGTCAGGGCTGTTTTAGGGGAAGTTGATAATTAATTGAAATAAATTTATCTTATGAGTAGAATTCCAGGTAAAATTTGAGAACTGGAGGCTGTTGATGTAGAAATACATAGTGCAAATAATTACAGGTAAGAGAAAATAACAGTGATTTTCTGGAGATTAGTAAGAAATAAAGCTACCAAGCCCAATGGCCAATCATGAACTTAAATGTGACTCTAAGTCTTATCGTTCTTGTTACAATCTGAAATTAAAAGATATAACCATGACTTCAACTGTTATCACATGACTTTATAATCAACCAATTTTACACGCTGAAGAAATGCCCAGCTTATGCTCTGTTCTGATTGAACAGAATGGGGTTTCCACACTCTCTAACCTCTTTTTACCAAACTTGACACCACAAATAATTACCAATATGGATTTCATTGATCTCTCTGAAATGGTTTCTGATTTTAAAGTAAATTTCTCAAACTATATAAGTTCTAGTTTGTAGGTCACAATGGATCAAAGATTTTTTAGGTGGGAATAACACGCACATTTTCCCCACAGGAGCTGTTAATGTCACTAAGTGTTCTAAATGCATTTGACACTGAGGGAGGGTCTTCAGGGTTTTTTTTTTTTTTACCCAACGGATGGACCATAACATTAGAAATATAAACTTTTATAATATTTATGTAAAGTTTGTAAGTATCCTTTTAAATATGCTGTAGGTCTCCAATTGTAGGTAAATGCCTTTCATTTTAGTTTTTGAATAAATGCCTCATTTTTGTGCAGGAGAACCCTGATACGCGACTGATGAAATCACAATTTACTTTTTTATTTTTCTTTTTAGCTCACTCCAGTTGGCACCACAATATTTACAGGATTTTCAGGGGACAATGGAGCTACAGACATTGATGATGGCCCAAATGGACAGATAGAATATGTTATTCAGTATAATCCAGATGACCCGGTATGTAAAATCCTGTCTGCTTGGAACTTCCCCATGAGGAAGAAAGTTGAAGTTTAGTCTAGCTTACACTTAACTGTATCATTTTAATACTCATCTCCTGGAACCACAGTAGTAATCATGGGTTTTATTTATTTATTTTTTTTCTTTTTATTTTCTTTTCTTTTATTTTTTTTTTACATTTTTATTTTTTTATTTTTTTAATAATAAATTTTATTTTTATATTCCCCATACAATTTCAACCCCTCCATTCTGAACCCAATCCCTCCTCTCCTCCCCCCACCCACAAAAAGTGTCTCTGGATCATAATTTTTGTTGATTTTCACTTTCTTATAGTTATTCAATTTCCTGGTACCTTATTTAAGTTTTCTAGATTCCTGCTATGAGTGAGAATACAACTTTGAGATGACTTTTAATTTTTAGTATTATTTAAAAGAGATAATCATGTTTAAAACCCATGATTGAGATCAATCTCAATCATGGGTTTTAAACATGATTATCTCTTTTAATTTAGATTGAGATTGGTCTCAATCATGGGTTTTAAACATGATTATCTCTTTTAAATAATACTAAAAATTAAAAGTCATCTCAAAGTTGTATTAAGAAACTTGTACTTTTAAAAGCAGTTTTGATAATATCTGTAGATAAAGCTTAAAGTGTATTTATATATGTAGTATACCATTTTTTATAAATTATCATCTTTGCAGGTTTCTAAATATCATAAACATAAATGGCACAGCCAATATGATTCAAATGTTCTGTGGAAGTTGCAAATTAATACTTCTACTCTGACATCATCTGTGATGATGACAATCCCTGAAAATGCAAATATCTAAAAATTTCTCTTATAAAATCAAAACTAGAGAAAAGCAAACAAAGCTTCTAATAATAGGCACCCTTTTATTTGGATTAAACCAAGATATTTTTATATTGCTTCTTAGACTTTGAAATAATTTCTTCAAATGCAACATTATTCAAAACAAAGATAAACTTAGAATTATTTTGTTCAAGTTAGAGCTGGAAGTCCTGCTTGCTATCCTTCCCTTTGTTTTCACCTGTAGTAGGTTCTCAAAATACCTTGGAATCCCCAGAGTTTAGTTTTAAATTACTCTAAATTCATGTGTTTCCTTTAATTATTCTAAATGTTTAATACTAGGAATATACAACAGTGTTGAAAATAACATGATTTTTTTTTAATCATCTTGAGCTTATGTATTCAAAAGAAGAATGAAACAAATTAAAAAAAAAACTGAAGATTTTATGGAAACTAACAGCTCACAGTGAGATTTATCTCACACTTTTATTGTGAGAATTAAGTAATTGTGATTATATTTTTTATTCTTAAAAATCAGTTTTTGAGTAGTAATATTTCTGTTGCAAAGGAGAGAAAATAAGCTCATAGGTGAAGGGATTTGCCATAACCATTTCTAAAATGTAATCAGGACTCCAATTTCAGAATAACATGCACCCTACTCTCTGTTCATATTGTATTGTAATAAAATATTTTCTTCGGTATTTAGGTTTTAAAAATAATTCTATGTGTATGCCATGTTTGTAACTTACATTTTACAATGGCTATTTCCTAATCTGTACTCCTCAGACTCTAAAGATGAAATCTCTCAGCAAATATAGAATGACCAACTTGTGTTTATCTAAGGAAAACACTTATGATATTTCATTTAAAAAAATCCAAACCTGTCCAAGATCTGGACAATGTAAGACAAAGTTTATTACTTTAAAAGCTATATTTTAGAATTTTAGATACATTTTAACTCAGTTTTTCTTCACAATACACCTTGAAGCAATTACTATAGATTTTAGTCAATAGTTTAGGATATAAAGACTCAGAGAAATTAAGTGGCTAAGGTTACCCAGAAGTAGATGATAAAGCCAAAATTTGAACCCAGAAAGATTGACTTCAGAGACCCTGCTCTTAATTTTCACTCCCTGGGCTTTGCAAAATGAATATTAGAAAAAATGCTTAGATATTCAGGATGTTGTAAAGATAAAGGCAATAGTACATATAATACATTTAATTGTCTTAATTCCTGACTTATAAATACTTATGATAATTTTACTTTGTAGTTTTAGAATGTAAACTACTATAAAGCAAAGATAAATTGTTTCTCTAGATGCATATCTATGCATATTCTATGTTTTTTGGCTAATACTACATTCATTTGACATTTTGTTACATGATAAACCATTTTTTTAAAGCTGCATAATTTTGTCTTATTTACATTAAGTACTATTTATCTACCCAAAGTCCTACTAGCAGACATTTCAGTTGCTTCCACTTTATCCCTAGTAGAAACAGCATGACACTGAACAACATGTCTGATTCTTTGTTGAGGATTAATTTCTAGAATTGTTGTGCCATGTCAAAGGTGTGCTTTTGGTATAGATTGGGAAAAGATCTTCCAAAAAGGGGCACAAATTGACACTCCCTTCACAGGCTATTCCACTCACGCTGGTTGTGTTTCTTCTTTACCTCTTTACCAGCCTGATCAATGAAGTATTTTGTTACATTTTAATTTATTAAATTTTTTTAGTATGTTTAAAATATATTTTCCCCCATTCACTTGTCTGAAGACTAGATGCTTTCTACTGATCTGCATTCAAGGTCACTATGCCCTATGTCATTTCCATTCTGTTAAATCTATCCTTTTTTTTATTCAATTTTCTGGCACTATATAATTTTTAAGTCTAAATTTTCCTTAATTTTATTCAAGTATTTCTTTCCTAAGATTTTCAAACTTTTTAATTTTATTTCTAAAAATGCATAGCTATAATAGCTGCTTTAAAATCCTTATCCACACAGCTGCCCTCCCTGCCCACCTGTGACTATGCATATATCGGTTTCTTCCTTTCTCTGTTTCCTAATAAACCTGTCCTTCTAAGATTAAAAAAAAAAAAAATCCTTGTCTGAATGTTCTAATATGTCTTCCTTAATATTCTCTCCTCTTAAAAAGATATCCCATTTCCTGGTTCATCATATGTTATGTTGTTTTGGGATCCTGGACGTTGTAAATGTTGTAAGGAGATTCTTGATTTTACTGCAATACAGTATTTTTTTTTTTTTTTTTAGCAGATAACTGAAAACTCTTTTGGGTGCAGTTCAAATCTCAATTAGGCATATGTTTTTCTTAGTTGACTTGCTTATAGCCTGTCCCATGCAGATGTGGCTTTAGAAACTAACTAGAAATTAGGACACAGATTATAAATTGAATATATTCTCCTTTTTGAATTTCTGATTTCTAATATCCCTCCTTCACTTTCTATCAACTTTGTGGGTCTCAAAAGGTAACCCTAATTTTTCAGACCAGAAAGACTTCAAGCAGTCTATCAGAGTTGTAATTGCCTCTTGAGTTGCTCAGTTTAGTCTCCACTCAGACTAACTGCCATAGAATATGAATCTTAACCATGTTGCCTATGTATAGTCTCCCCCAGGATGGGCCTGTGTTGACTCTATATTCAGGAATGTCAGGATTTTCTTTCTTTTTTTTTTTTTTTTGGCATATAAATTGTCAGATAAAAGATATTCAGCCATATAGAAGCAGAACAATTCCTTAATATTCAAAAAATATTTTTAGAAGCTTGATGCTCTTACTCATTTTCTCTTCTGAAGCGTTCTGGTTTTCCTAAATATTAGGGGGTACCAACAATGTTAGAAATATTTCAAGTTTTACTCAGAAAAGTGAAACATACAATCATTGTATCCATAACTGTAGACTAAAATTGATAAATTGTCAGCTAATTTACCATTGCTACTAGCTTTTTTAATCAGAAATACTAAAATCTAAAATGACTTTAGGCTATTTTTCTCTATGAGAAAGGAAAAAAAATGGGGAAAGTATTGAAAAAAAGAGGGGGATCATAGGTGTCAATTCATCTCTCTATAAAAATAAAAGGATATTCCCAATATAGGCACGTATGTGACGATATCCTCATATAGCTGTATTCCTAAAAATTAGAAAAATAACAAAATATATTACATGAAATTATTAAATTGAAGACTCATCAAATACAACAACTTTTAATTTTTGTTACTAAATGTTACCACTAATCCTTTGACAAATCTCAGGGGATATGTAATACAGCTGTTATCTGTTTCTTTTTTTTAAAGATTTATTTATTTATGCATACAAGAATTGGGGTACAGGTCAGAGGCATGGGAGGTGAGAGGATTCACCAGAGACAGAGTGGGGAACAGAACAGGCAGATTGACTGAAGTACACCGTTGAGGGGAGCAGCAGACAAGACAGGAGAGGTCTCCTGCACCATGTGGGTAGCTCCCTGGCTGGGAATCGAACTTGTGCTGCAGTGGTTACCCATACCTTCATAGTGCGGTGCTTAATACCTTGTGCCACCAGAGAGGCTCTGTTATCGGTTTCAGTGTAACATTATCACAAAAATTTACTGCCTTAAAACAACAGACACTTATTTTATTTTAGTTTCTATGGCTAAAATCTGGATATAGCTTCATTGGACTCTTGCTTATGCTCTCACAAAGTTGAAATCAAGGTGTTGACCAGATTTGTTTTCATATGGAAACTTAACTAGGGAAGGATTTCCTTCCAGGTAAACTCAAATTGTGATCAGAATTCATTATTTCATGGTAGTAGGATAGAGTCTTGTATTTTTGTCATCCTTTGATTAGAGATTGTGCTCAGCATTTGGAGATCACCTTACATTTCTTAACCGCTTCTTTCATTAAGTCTGCTCAGAGGCATCTAGAGCAAATTTGTTTGTAAGACAGAGTTTATATATCAAAATGCAATCACAAGAGAGACAGTTTATCACATATACTATATTCTGTTGGATAAATGCATATAAGAGAGGTCCTGCCCACACTACAGGGAAGGATATTATACAGAGAAATGAGTTGCTTATCAGGAAGCAGGGATAGAAAGTGGTCCCTTAAGAGCCTGTCTATAACACCTATTATAATGTTCAGCATTATTATCATCATTTTTAAATGCCATACAAACAGATCTACTATG